GTATAGGTCTGGGTGTTTTTTATGTACTAGTCCCTAGAATTCTTTACCGTGGTCGGGCGAGCTACTTTATTTATTTGAGCAATAGGACTTGTTTTGTTTTCTAAATCTTCAAGCTTTATGACAAGCTACAGCGAAAGTTTTGCTTTCGCTGTAGCTAACGGTCGACCAGATGGTATAAGTACCTATATTATGTATATGTATCTAAATATTTGTATCAGTTGTCTAGTAGTCATAACGCTCTGCTTAGTTTGGAGTGAGATGACGCTGTTTGAATTATTTACGGTTATTATTTTATATTAATAATTATCATCTGTATTTATCTGTAACTTACTTTCTTCATTACAAAATTTACTCTCACAATATTTGTTTGTTTTATATTAATAAAATGAAATATTTGTGCGCCCTGAGATGGTACGCAGATTTTTTCGAAATGCATAATGCATAATATGTATAATTGTAATTGTAACATAATTTTCAAGAGGGGAGCTGTTCTCTGCTGTGGGGGGAAGGCCCACTGGGTTCGCCCATGCAGATATCCTATAGAGATTGAAAAATAAAACGACTTGTATATCCATCTAAATATTTATTCCGCCCATTAACATACAGTTGGATAAATGGCGTCACATCTCGGCTAGTTAGCAACATTTCACTATATCCACTACGCGTTTGTACTGAATAATTTCATTTGGCGACAGCTATCATTCGTAAATACCCATCTTATAGGGAAAACAAGGTTAGGACCAATCACAAAGAGTAAATACAAGTTGAGCCTTAATTACAACACTACAAACATGGACTAATTAAATGATAATAAATTTTCTATATAATATTTTTATATAAAAATAGTTCACGAAATTTTTGGTATGTTTAATAATAAAATGCCTCCTTTCCGATATTCAATTTGAAATGTCAGAATACTTTTTAGAATATCTACATTTTTTTTAACGTCCAACCACAATTGAGATACTTATTTAGACGTTATATACGTAAGAGAGACGTAAAGACGAGACGTAAGAGAGATCACCGAAGAGAGATCAGAGATTTAGATATATAAATATATTTTTATAGCACAGGAGTTAAACTAGCAAATGGAACACTTGATTGTAGTTAGATATAGCTACTTGTAAGACCTTACAGTCGCTGCTCTTTTAGGAAAGAATACACTATTATCATGAAGGTATTAATATCGTATCAGTTTGTAAACTTCTGTAGGGAATGGATTCAACAGTACCTATATACATTCCCAATAACTATAAAACTCTTATAATTCAAAATGAAATATATATTTTTACATGTACCTACTTACATTTCGATAGAATATCGTAAAGGCTGCTAATTGAATATGTCACGATAAATGAAATAATCTATAAGAAAGGACGTTAACACAAAGGTTTAATAATACCAGACACATCAATTAACTTCATACAACATTAACTATTAGAATAATATCAGTCAAATCCATTCAAAATAGGTAACTTAATACTTGTATGGCTAGATACTCTTAAAACTATGAGTGACGGAGAACTACTGTTAAGTTGTATGGTCATTTATATATTTATTTTGATGGATACAAAGATCCTTTATGTGCGTTACAGAATGTAGGTTATTTTAATTTAATTGCTATTCGACATGTAAGCAGTATAAATAAAATAATATAAATATATTGGAAGAACTTTAAAAACTGTAAATTACAAATGGAAGACAATATATTATTAACATTACAGTGGGTATCGATGTTATATTTTATATAAATTTTTCATTTAGTATTTGCTATAAAAAGTATTGTCTATTTTTGTATGCTCGATTCTCAGGTTATTTCTTTTAAATTATGCAACGGACTTCGATAGTGTTTTCACAATATCTAGTTATGGTGGTTCGCATTTTTATTTGTATTTAATTTTTGCAACTGATTTTATTGTAATTTGAATTATACATTATGATTTATGTAATAAACATTAAAACATTATGGTTCAGAGTAGTTCTCCGTCAACATACTTACAAACAAACATACTCTATATTATTACTTAAATGCGAAAGTATATATTTTGTCACTTTAATTTATAATGCATTAATCCAGATATTTATAAAAAAATAAATCCAATAAACATATCGAAACATTTCGTCCTTTTCTTTTAAGCCATATTAATAATTTAAAAGAAAGTGACAAAAGACTTACACTAAAAATTGTACGAGATTTTAGTGAACATGAATAAGGGAATAAACAATATAATTACAAAAAATATAGCATATATGAGCAAATTAAAAAAATGCATAAAAATAAATTCCTCTGCGCCCTGACGTGATACCCCGTTTGTACATTTCTTATTCAAACCTAATTTTATGTAAATAAATATGAAAGTATAAGATTGTATAACTTAGGGCCTGTTATACTGGTCACAAGAGTCTAGTATATATATATAACTTCATTACTTTATAGTCCTTAAATAAAGGCAGTTGTGACAAAAAATCATGTACCTATACCAAGATTACAAGCCCTTGTACTGTTACATGGGCATACCCAGGCAGTGGTAGACAATTGCCCCCCCAATAGTAGTTGCATAGGTTACTTTGTAATCTATTATACATCAACTTAAAAAAACCATATAAAACTGACGTGCCTCTCTCGTACAGAAGAGAATACTGACTTGTCCCCTACGTATATGTTAGGTACGCCCATGTCCTGATTGTATATAAAATAGTGGCCATAAGCGTAATAAAAACTAATAATATCAACATAACTTACATGTAGTAAAATACAAACAATGTGATAAGTATATTTCATTAAATATGTATAAGTATAATTATAAAACAGCTGCAAAAATCATTAAGTCAATATTCGTTGGAAACCGGTCATACATCTTACTTATGGCTAATAGTTAAAAAAACTACCGTTTGTATAGTATGAAAATATCACTGGTTATTGGAAATGTATATATGTTACCGGAAATACGTATAAATCAGGTATCCTATACATTATATAATACCTGAATTATAATAAATAACTCTAGACTATTTACACAACGCCATCTGGTCCCACGGTAAGCAGAGCTTGTGTTATGGGTACTGGACAAATGATATAAATACTTAGATATTTTTTATAAATGCATACGTAATATACATAGAAATCACCCAGACCGATACAAATAATCATACTCATGAATACAAATATTTGCACCGTGCGAGGAATCGAAACCGCGACCATCGAAAGTAAAGCAGTGTGCTAAACCGTTAGACCCTGAGGCTGTAAAATTGTTGTATAGTAATCAAATTATATATAGTATTGCCGGTAACATGTATAACTGATTAAACGACATTCTTATTTATTGATCCACGGTTGCATATCAATTACATTGTTGATTTTCATATATATGTAGTATAAAAATGTATTATTTCATACATAGAAAATACATTTGAATTAAGAATCTTTACTTACACACTGAATATTGTATTATTAGTTTAATTAACATTAAATTGAGATGATAATATGGTTCTTTATATTTCATAAAAGTTTAATAAATACAAATAGCAAACTTTAGAGGTATTACAATTACATTAAATTACTAGACGACACAAATAATAGATGTAAAATGTAGATTTTTAATATTGCAATAAGAACATGCAAAAATTACAACACTAAAGTTAAAACAGACTAAATTAAAATTGCACCGTTCGGGAAGTCTTCGTACGACAACAACTGTATTTATTAATGATGTAAATATATGTTAAATTAAAAAAGTAAATTCTCTATATTATATTCGTTAAATAAGTTTGATGCATGATATACACATGCATTCATGGTATTCCGAGAGATTTGAGTTTGGCATGATGTCTACTATACATTTTTTCCATACAACATCTACTATCACATCACTATTATCTGGTAACCCAAATTGGAACCGTAGAATTTTAATAAAATTACAGAATTAGGTGTTACAAAATAATCAGGAGGAAAACCACAGTATGAGGTTATTAAAAACGAGCTAATAAGGTTTTTTATGCAGGATTCCAATTTATAGAGTTTTTATACAGTTCATCAATATTATTAAACTTGTTCAACATATTCATATATATGAATAAGTCTAAGTTCAACATATACGAATATGTTATTTGCATCAACAAATACAATTATTGAAGTCTGGACATAAGATCATTGTACCATTATCTTTGTATAACCGAATCATTACACATTAAACAGTCATTAATTTTTAAAAACCTAAATTTTTTTGTTGCAATATCTTGCGCACCATAAAATAAACTTTAAAAAAATATTTAAATCCAAATGGCCTCATTAATACTTCTGTTAGATCTTAAGAAAACAAAAAATCGCCGCTGCAAATATTATGATTAAGTGCCGTTCAAGTATTACGTAAGCAAATTTATTACAATTATTTACCATAAGCAAAGCGCTTACCCCCTCCCCCCTATGATTACGTAAACATTTTTCAATGAATGTATTATTTTTTTTAGTAAAGACAATGTGAGGGTTGCCATTTGCGTAAAAAAGTAAATAACTACCAATGACGTAATCATCATCTAGACTCCCCTACCCCCATGTCATCCAAAATAAGCAAAGCAAAGACCACCCCCTGCCCCCTATAGTGCTTACGTAATACTTGAACGGTCCCTTACATATTTATCAGTAATCCGTTAATATATATAAAAAAACTGACAAGCAATACAACATACATAATTGTAAGAGATCTTATAATAATGAGTGCTTGTATCATTATTAGAATAATTAGAAAAATCTATGACATGACTGCAATGTTTTTTCAGAAACTATTAAAACCACTCCACGGTTGATTTAATGAAAACGTATTTTGTATGTACTTACTTTTTAATAAAACATTACCTAACCATTACAGTTAAGTTAATAAGTTAGTTTCTAAAAAGCCATATATATGAATAAATAATGTTCATGTAAATAAACAAGTTATATGATTTTTTTGAGAGACAATAAAACGATAGGTTTGTTACACTGTCCAATTGTAAATTCGACCTTATTTTTATAATTAATACTTTGCCTAGGAATACAATTTAAATAAAATAAAAACTATCACAAAATTCCAGTAAAGCATCCTGAATCTCCAAAAAGAAACTATCCTAGCATATTATATAAATAAATCAATTCCACTTTCAAATCTTCAAATTTCAATTTAATTTGATATAATTATACAAAAATCCCACGAGAAATAAAACATTTGTATCTTAATATACGTTTTTTGTGCAATATGTATTCAAAGAATACCATAGTAACTCTAAATAAAATTGTAGCTGCTTTAATTCGATACTATAGAATTATAATAATAATTAATATTGAGTATAATATATACTCATTGTGTATTATGTTTAATCCGAAGATATTATAAAATATACATATATTCAGAGGCATAATTAACGCATTTTAGTGAATTTTCAAAAAATCAATTATAACGTAGAACATTTCTGTTTTTAGACCATTAATTGTACCTCTGAATGTCATCGCCAAAACGAACTTTTTATATGTAGTTCAGCTAGTTAAAATAATTTATTAATATCAATATATCGACTAGTTTAAAACGAATAAACATGCATTAAAAAGTAGAGAACTATAATGTGTATTAATTTGCATACAATTTCTTGTCAACAGTATATATAAAAAAAAATATGTATCACCAGCTTCATGGCCCCGTCAATTCAAAATTAAATGTAAATTACATAACAAAATGTAACATATTGATGGCGACTACATAATTTTAAGCCTAAATTAGTTCCATACACGGAATGATATGCATGCACACAAATAAATATTATAGAAATCATAATGTATTATTAATTGATTTCATTTCAATTATATATTCTTTGGATGTTAACCTCAACGCCTACAATAAAATTAAAGGCAATGTCTCGTAGCGACATCAACCGAAATTCTATAGGCGACCGTATTCTTCAATATTACGTTCCGTTTTTCATTTTGATTAAAATTTTACAAGAATTGTTACAGTTATAAGTATATCATGAAAAAATATAATTGACTAAAGTAAAATTAATAGTTAATCAATTAAAAGTTAATTTAAATACATGATTTAAAGATAATTTTGGCATTGATGTCTTTATATAACCTATACCTACTGCAAACTGCACAATATAATATACAGTACAAGAATAGTGCGTGAGACGGTTAATAATGTAATTTGAATGATCAACTTCGACATAAAAAGACTAAAACTTGCTAGTAAAGGCATTGCACTAAGGGTAATTACAAAATCACTAGCAGAAACAGCGTCTGTGTCAGTGATTATTATTAAAACCTTTCTTTCTGCTTTTTTAAATATTAAACAGTATATATTGTAGAAACAGTAGTTACGAAAGATATATCTTATTTAACATCTGCAAAAATATAATTAGAAGGACACAACATTATATTAATCTGTATTCAATTTGACAATAAATTCAAATTGTACCTTCTGTTGCATTAACAGTGCGATTCTCCGTTTTCGTGGTGTCCCGAGTCGAAACTGCTGAGGTGTCCGAGGCCTTTAGGTGGGATTGGTGGTGGGATCTCGTCTTCGCCTATCTGCAGTGGTTCCGGAATCATTGAGATCATGTCCTCGTAGCGTAGAGACTCTATAGCTAAATCGAGATCTGAAAACAAAACGGGGAAGGCGATAATTAGTAATGTGGATTAATGACCCCACTGTTAGCAATGTACCATGTCAGGTTGACCTCACGCGGTTCCCCCTGGAAACCATCATGTTAAATTCTTGATGAATTCGCTGCGGTGACCTATCTGACCTGACCCATCAGGCTCATCTTATCACAACACATTGGAGCCCCACCAGCGTTTACCGTTAGCGCGAGCGAGTGCACCATTCATTTTGCTATATTTAGTGTATCGCAATCTTTCTCACGTGATAGCGCGTATGTTTACATAAACATACGCGCTATCGAACTGTTAAGAGTTCACTTTCTTTTAAAATGTTATTTTTAATTACAGTTTTCTTTTCCAGAGACTCTTTTATAATTTATTGATTACCAATACCTTCATAATTATTCTTTCTGCTCCATAGTCAGACGTCCGTCATTTTATAATGATAATTAATCAAAAAGGCGCTAAAGCACGTACGATTGATCGACTCTGGAATAGGCGAACTGACACTGACGCGGAATTTCTCGTTCTTTTTGTCTATATTTACATGCACATTCTTTCCTTCATGAAAGCTATTCGCGCGTGAAAGAGCGTAAGTGTAAAGGCAGCTATTTACCACAGGGATAATTAAAATGGATCGTAAGTGCAGGGCTTAAGGTACATACCACTGTGGCTGTGTCGGTGTTCACCTGCGTTGGTGTAGGCGTGCGTGTCGACGCAGACACCGGAGTCGCGGGCATCGTCCCCGCGCCGCTCGTCGGGCTCCGCGCGAGTCGCCCGCCGCGGCACCAGCGGCGGCCCCGCACTGGCGCCCCCAGACTCCATCCATGAACGTTTGTCGCCTACTTTCCATCAACATATTCCAAATTTAAATCTGAATTCTGTGCTATAACAGTAATATTTGTCCTATTTTTAAATATTTGTAAACTACCGAAACAAAATTGTATCTAATATGCAGCAGTACTAAGTTCTTTAAAATAAAAATTTATTATTTCCGCGTGCGGTCGATGCACACGCGGATTGGCTCTCGTGCCGCGTCACTCGTCGGGCTCTTCAACGGATCTATGTACGCTTGTCGCCAGCTTTCCATCAACATATTCCAAAGTTAAATCCGAATTTTAGTATAAATATATACTTACACATATATAGGGCGCACTAGCCTCTTGGCAAAAGAATTGCCTAAAACGGAATTTCCTAAACCTAAACCTACTCCACAAAAAATAGATTGCCAAAAAAATAAAAAATTCGTTCTAATTTTAAATTATTATTTTATAAACTACTAAAACAAAATTGTGTCCTTAATATACATTAGTTGCGACATGTCATCTTTGAATAAAATTTAATTAATTCATAACTCAGAACACATTACACTACCACATCTAGCGTATTAAGCAAAATTGTGCTATGGATACTATACCCTAGTACACAACTTTGCTAAAACTTTGTTGTTAGTGTAAGTAACAAAATTTTACCTGAAACTCGAGGCGGTAAGGGCGGTGCATCGCCCGGCTCACTCCACGAAGCACGGCTGTGACGGCGCGTCTCAATTATTTCACCGTCAATGGATTCCCTGTTAGAATATAGATGTGTTAGACCTACAATGAGAATCACTGGCAGTTTTTATATTCATTTATCCGTATTTTTATATTACTTCTGTCACTGCGGTCTGCTATAATAAACGTCTTCAAAGCATCTCTATTGTTTTCATTCATTACTACTAGATGAGATATTTAAACAAAGTTATACCTATTTTTTTAATGGAAAGCTGCCCCGCCTACGATAAACTTACTGCCGAAAGATAATACAATGAAATGAGATGCGATAACTGATTTGACTTCAGGAGTCAGATCTGTTAGCACATGTGTATTTCTTCGCGATGTCCTAAACGGCTAGTTATTCCGCGTAGTACCGGTAGTGAATTCCACAGTTACACGTGTGCACAGAGAATGATTTAATGTAGAAGGAGGAAGTATGGGAAAGAGTTTTAAGGCATAGATTTATTGCACTGCGTAAGCCATAATTTTGGCTAAGAATGCAGCCTCAGAAATACAAAATTTTTTTAATAGGAAATTGTAGGATTAAAAATATATATACATTCTATGTTAATTCCAGGAAAATAAAATCTTATATATATAAATTTTATATAATTCTCGTGTCACAATGTTAGTTATCATACTCCTTCGAAACGGAGTACCGATTCTAATGAAATTTTATATGCATTCTGAGAATCAGCTACTATCTATTTTTCATATCCCTAAGTGATAAGGGTAGTCCAACCCTAGCGTGTTTATTTTTTATTTTTTGAACAAAATTTTTATTTCTTTACAATATATTTTAATTTTCAACCATCTATCACCGGGCCCTATGTTTTAATAGCGATTGACTTAAATTTATATGGCAAAACGACGCTCGTAGGGACAGCTAGTAATGATATAGATATTAAAACGTACCGGTACTTGTCGAGGGAGTGCGAGTGTGGGTGGGGGTGCGGCGGCTTGGTGGGGCTGCGCGGGTCCTGCGCGGCCGAGCGCGGCCGGCCCGCGCCTGGTGCCCCGCCCGCGACCCCGCCCGCGCCCCCGCCCGCGCCCCCGCCCGCGCCTGGCGCCCCGCCCGCCGCCGCGCCGCCGCCGGGAGTCGACCCCGCGACCGCCGGCGGCGCGCTGCTCGACATTATGCTCTGCTGCTCCGACTCCTCCAGCGAGTACTGCCGCACCAATACATACACTTCATTTTTTACAGGATTCACACAGTGCTATCTAGTCCCAAACAAAGCAGAGCTTGTGTCGAGGGTACGACTTATTTTTTTTTGTAAATACATACATAATATAGACAACAGCCAAACCGATCGTAACTGTAAACACAAATGTGCACCATGTGAATAATCAAACCCATCGACCATTGGAAGTGAAGCGATGTGCTAAACCGCTAGACCACCGAGGCCGTTAATTATTGTACGATTTTTAGAACAAGTAATGTGTACTTTTATTATATATTTTAGTATAACCATTAGTAGCATATATTATACTAACCATTTACGTTCACTCAAAATAGCACAGAGTACGACCCTGTCAGTTTTTAGAAACTTATAAAAATAATATCAATCTGATGAGGCTTATGTTTAGCTTAAGTTTTCCTTATATGAACAAATAATTTAATAAATTAATGATTTAAAAGACAATTGACATCGATACTTACAATAGGTTTATTATAAAAGTGTCCTTCTTCATAATAATTCTCACTCTGTTGTGTACTCTGAGATCGCTTGTCGAGAGACGGTACGGGCGGTAGAGGCGTACTTGTAACAAATTATACATAAATTGAATTTATTCATCAATATTAATGTAATGTAATGTAATATGGACTCAATTCTCCGCATTTAGCCTATTCTGAGTCCTTGTGCGTGTAGAGCCGAGACTACTAAAGTAGCCAGCTAAGTTCGTCACTATTAAATTTATTTCTAGAAATTAGGCTTGTATCTTAGTCGGCTTATACTATTTAATTTTACACCGAATACCCATGAGTTCTATTCTGACTGACACCAAGAAACTTCGTGTGTCACACTTTATTTCTTACTGACTCTAGTCTCGCTGAAGGAAACACCGATTATAACTTAAACAAATCGGATAATCGGATCCTGACAGCAGACTCATACACTCACCATATACCATGTTGCATTCTAATAAACCAGTGAAATATATGTTCAACATAAGGTTTGACCAATTAACATTTCTCTAAATTGTCGCGGTTTTCTCGCGAGACTTAAGAGTCGGTAACGTGCACGTAACAGCTTAGATGCCTCAGGCGTCTATTGCTACGGTAACTGTTTATTGTAAAATAAGCTGTATCAAGTATACAGCTTTTGCCACCATCGTAGTATGAAAAAACTACCCCTATGCTACTAATTTCGCTACTAGCTTTACTTACTACTAACTTTAAAGAGACAGACAAAAATAGCTAAGAAATAAGAAGAAAAAATAAGATAACAAATTGAATTTTAAAAACAACTATTATATATTTTTAACTTACTTCACTATGCTTTCTGATAATTGTCGTCGTCCGCGAGCAAGACCGGGTCCCAAGTTTTGTCGCAACTGATTAAATCTCTCTACTAGTCTCCTGAAAATAGTATTGAAACGTATCGTTCGATAAATAATAAGCAAACAACAAGAACTAAACTTATAAATCAATCTTAAAAAATAAATCCAAATGTATAATTATAGTTGCATTATTTTGTAATTGGCTGTGTTTATTTAAATGCTAATATATTTATAACTATTACAATTATCACCATTGAATTCCATCTATCCAAACAAACAAGAAGCGTTTACAATATTGGTAAGATAATGTAATATACAAGACAAATCAAAATATTATATATACTGCTCACCTATGCAAGGGTTTAACTTCCTCCGGTGCCAGTCTCTCGTGCAATGCCAGGCCTGCATCTACCACCATGAGCTGGGAGGAGACTAGCCATCTAAGTTTCGCTGCAGCCGCCGCCTCGCGTTGAGTGGCGGTCCTCGCGAATTCCGTAGTGAGGAACGCTTGTTCATACTTCGTAATGCCACCTTGTACGTTCGCGTCTATGGTGCCCTGCAGCCGCATCGAGAACGGGTTGATGTTGCGGGTCGGGTCCGCTGTGTACTGAGATATTAGGCTGCGAAGTTCGCGTTCTGTCGCTTCCATAGTCTCGCAGGCGAACTGTAACGTAGTTTGTAACTTCGTGATAATAGTGGTAGCATTTATTAGTAATAAAACATAGTCGTAAGGGGTTGATTGTGATAAAATGATAATGATATATGGGGATGATTAAATAAAAGATACGTGCTGTTATGAGTACTCATTAATGCACACTGCACCTTTTGGAAATACGATAAATAAATAAACATAAAATAAATAATATAATTAGTACTATACTAAAATTATAAAGAAGTAAGTGAATATGGATGTTCAAGGTAATTCCCAATACTATGAATAAGATTTTAAAAATTGTAATGTTGTATAGTCTATTAATCGAGAAAGGCTATTAGGCAATATAACATCACACGTCCAATAGGTTCGGAGTTGCAATGAAAAATGTTGCAAAAATGCAGAAAGCGTGATGAAGTTGCAGGAACATGCTAGGGCACTTTAAATGTGATCTAGAACTTACTTCAACAGGTGGGATTTCTTCAACAGATCTTGATATGACCTCCGACCATCGCAATATACCGGGTAGAGTATTTTCAGTAACTAACGTAGTGCGTTCAATCCATAAACTCTGAAAACGTTTAGACAGTATTAAAAATAATGACTAACATAGTAAATGGAATATGGCAATAAATCATAGATCAAGACGAATACTATTAACTAGGTGTGCTACGATTAGTATCTGTATAACATTTTTGTTTGTAGACCGATTGGAATAAAACAAATACTAATTTTAAGTGAAGCTTACTCTACATTAGTGGAATCCGCACACAAATCGGTTGAACTATTTCTAAGAATAGTGACACACACACACACAGCCAAACATTTATTGTATTCTATTACCTTGATAAAGTGGATACAATTCAGAACATTGTGCAAAAATAAGGCTGCAAATTATATGAAAATAACTTTGGACAGTTTGGTAAATAATCTAGACTAAAAGAAATATAAAGATACTTAAAATAGTTACCTTGAACTCATTATCTTTATCGATAGGCGGCTTGTGTAGTGGCCGATCACAAAGGAATGTATCCACATCGTTGCAAGCATAGAACCTCTTCACCTGTTCAGGTGCTCCCGAGGGCCACACGCGCGACGATGGAACGGGCTTCACATTGCAGATCTGGATATCTGTTAGGTACATGAAATGTGAATATATTTCTTTTAAAAATAACACAGTATTCTATATTATATATGGAACACAGTTACCTAGATACATCATCATAACTGCTATAACAGTTTAGTGCTAATTTCGCACAGTATAATACAGTACATATGACATGGCGCCTGACTATTGATAATCCCGGGTACTCGCATGATGAAACATTTGTATTCAAAAGTATTATCGAGTATGACTAGGTATTTTCTAGGTATATATTTACAAGAAACAAAATTATATATAAAAATATATATATTCATAAATTACAATTTTTCAGGCGCTTTGCTGAGACATTTGAATTACCACCTTATGCCGTAGTCAATAAGACTCATGTCTTATTAGACAATAGAATAAATATACTTACACTGTCCGTCTGCGGCGATAATGGAATCGTCTGGCGGTGTATTCCGCATAAGTATATGGGCGGCGACGTATTCCGACTGCAGCCGTTGTGTGAACGCACCGATTCGCTCGTAGTCATGACCGCGGTACACGAACTGCTTGTTCTATATTTTAATTCAAAATTAGAACTTATTTAATACACATTATTTGAAATTACATTGAAATCAATTGTCTATGACAACTATTATAAAACGTAGTGCTAATACTCTGTAGTAACTTATTGAAAATATGAGTGTCGCACATCATATTTATAAATTAAAATGTATGTGAACCACAAAAATACCGTTATAGTGGTTAAGATCTTATGAAATATATTCTAACCAAGATGGTTGCTTGATACAGATACTATATTGAAAACTTTTCAACTATGCTCATTCTAAAACGCTGTATGCATAGCGTGGATATGTTAAACATGAACAATAAATACTATATCGACTTTCAAAACTGGCTATGTTTAAGATATATAATTTGTCATGCATTTATTATAGTCTTTTAACCATTATTACAGTCAACGAGTAGCCATTTTTAGTTCGAAAAACGGATTTAGATGGCGTCATTGGTATCGAATGTAATTCAACATTGTTTTGAATCGTTTCAAAACTATGTTTTTAAAAAGGTTTAATCTATTTTTATTTACAATTTTCATATATTTACTCATTTTGTTGTTGCCCTGTATTTGTTTATATTGTTTGCATAGATTCATTTTGAAGGTTACGTAGGATCGTGGAACCGTTCAATGAAATTAATTATTTGTGTGAAACTGTGTGAATATTTTCCTTTTTAGAAGCACTGTATGTTATCATCATCATCAGCCCACTGCAGTCCACTGCTGGACATAGGCCTCTCCCAAGGCACGCCACTGGGCACGATCTTCAGCCCTTCTCTTCCATTTTTTACCGGCAACCCTACGTATGTCGTCGCTCCACCTAGCTGCGGGGCGTCCTACGAAACACTACGTTTGCCAATTCGAAACGATAATCATTCATAATACTAGATATAATACGCCTACTCCAGCGAGCATCGGTTCTACGACAGTCCATATTTTTTTATTATATGACCAGCCCACTGCCTTAAAACATATTTTTCAACTTGCAAATACGAAGAGCTATGTCGGTGACCTTAGTTCTCTGGCGACTACTACAAATTCGTTACGGATTTGATCCGTCAGTTAAAAACTTCCATAGCATGCGTGTGTATCTTTCCTTTCCATAAGCTCTTTGAGCGACTTTGAGTTGGTGGACCAGTCGATATCGTCATTTTTGTGTCCACGTTTCAAAATAAAGTACTAAACCGTATTATTTTTATATAACGGGTAGGACGCACTGGTTATAAACCTTGGTCTTACAGGCTGACATTGTGAACAAAGTTTAAATAAGACGACGAGAAGACTTGACGAAGAAATATATATATATATATAGCCGTATGTTGTCAAATAATTTCATTTTGGTCCAATTGTCATAAAGACTGTGACAACTATTATAAAACGTAGTGCTAATACTCTGTAGTATCACGTAGTTATTGAAAATACCACGAGTGTCGCACATCATATTTATAAATAGTAAAATGTATGTGAACCACAAAAATACCGTTATAGTGGTTGAGACTTGATATAGATACTATGACAATACAGCGTGAAAACTTTTCAACTAGTGCTCATTCTAAAACGCTGTATGCGTAGCATGGATATATATACATATGTATATATATATATATGTTAAACATGAACAATAAATACTATATCGACTTTCAAAACTGGCGATGTTTACGATATATATCGTACTGAGTTCGTTCATAAATATGCATTTATTAGTCTTTTAACCATTGGTCAAGCTTTCACTCTGTATTACAGTCATGTTACTGCTACTGACCCTGACGAAGAGCGGGCAGCCGTTGCCGTAGAATCCGACGCGGAAGTACTCTGGTTCTGGTCGCACGTCTTTCAGTACCGCGTCTAGGAACGTGGCGTGAGTGCGCAGCGTGTGCGCCAGTCGCGTGTAGTCGCACAGTCGCGTCTCGTACAGACGAGCCAGCTCACGCAACAGCGGCAGACCTTTCTCCCAGCACTGTAGAATGTCATCATCACATAAATTTATACATCACCAAAGTCAAGTTACATATATAAAAAAATATTTTGCAGGTACAAAAATATATTACTAGATTTTTATATACCTATACCTACAATTCTGTAGCCAGTATGTGATTTTATTTTTGTATTTCTATTGTATAGCTACATTTGATTTATTTCCTTTTATATTTGTGCACTATTTAATTAAAGAGTTTGGATGGGTGGTTGAAAGCGCTAATCATAGGAACTATGTATTCGAATGAATAAATTCTTTTAGTATTGGATATAACTATCTGTATGGATATATATCAATGAAAAAGGTTGCAATTACGGGAAAAATATAACGTTGACGAAGTTACGCGACTGACGAAGTGATTAATAATTAAATAAGGGCTAAATTCAAATTTTATACAAAGTACCAATGCAATATTTATAATGCATGCTCTGTTCAGATGTACATTAAAATATGTACCTTTCCGCGGTCGAAGTATTGCAAAACTTGATTATAGAGAGCTTCTTTCCTCTTCCATTCCGGTGTGTCTGGATGTTCGTGGTCTACTCCGACTTGGTCACTATCCCAGCTTAGTGTTTCTGCATATAGCTGAAAAAAGTATCATGCAAACATTTTTATATATATTATTTGAAAAGGGTTTAAAAAAAATTCAAAGTAAATTATTGTTAAATATCTGTATAAATGTGTATTTATGTGTATAGATAATGCGAATATTTAGCTACCCAGAGTAGGTAAATATTAGCATTAAGAAATCTGAGATATATCTTGCCAACAAATCGTTCTGCAGTTTGGCGATATATTCATTGAGTAATAATAAATATACCTATCCTTATTAAACAAATAAATAAACAAAAAAGCTATTGATGATACTTGTCTTACTTCATATGGAATTTACATGGAGAAATCAAGCCATAACACAAAAAAATATAAAGCAAAGTGGTTGTTTTCGTCTATTTTTCTCCATTAACACGATGGATTTTCGTTTAAGTTAGAGAATTTCGTTCGAATGATTTATAAATTGAAATGAATATAGGTATTATAAAAAGCATGAAGTGAATAAAATATTCAAATACATAATTTTTATATTTATGAATAATACTTACCAGAAGCGTACAGCCTGCTTCTACGAAGTTTTCAGACCCAATATGTAAATCGTGTAATTTGTATACGTATCGTAAATACATCTCTTTGCGATCGATTTCGTTTTTGTAGAAATTCTAAAAAAATAATTATATATAAATTAAATATGCAGTCGTTTCTTATAATACCGTTATAAGTTACTAAAAGTCTATCTGTCAGTAAGTAATGTTATCAGGAAGATCTTCCTGATAACATTACTTACTATATAAAATATTTTTGCGATGATAATAACGTATATTAAATAAAAACATATACCGAATATTGTTTGTTCAAACTATAAAAGTTACTGAAATAGACATAGATAGAGAAGGAGGCCATACGACTAGCAAAAGACATAACGTTCCGGTCTTTATCTAATAAAACGTATATTTTTATGATGCCTTTTAAATTTAAATAATTACTCGTATGTCAGTTTCGATCTAGGCCCACAAAACCAACACGGTACGGCAAATTTCTCACCGAATATTGTTTGTTCAAACTATAAAAGTTACTGAAATAGACATAAATAGAGAAGGAGGCCATACGACTAGCAAAAGACATAACTATAGTGTCATTGATAATTTATAAATATTAAACGTGTCTTTGAAAAATAAAATCTATCTAATATTATCTTCTAAAAATGTGGAAATAAAATTAAAATTTCGAAAGTGAAATAGACCTACCAGCAGGTTGACGGTGGCGGCCATCCGCTTGTCGCGGTGCTCGGCGGCCTGCATGACGGCGCGGTAGTCCAACAACCGCTCTAACAGTCGTGTTACGCACCCCACGAAAGCAGGTCGAAATTTCCAGAACGAAAACGGAACCAAAAATGCACGTGTTTGCTTTTGCGAGACCACTACCATACACATCCCGTTTAGCACCTGTCGACACCCGCTCCATCAGCCTGCCCAATGTAAACACATACTAATAATAACGGAATGGAATAAAAATAACAATCATCACGAGCAAAATAAGGTAACGAGAGACTTGACATAGCGCGTGGTCGGTACTAATCATTAGAAACACTGAAAAAGAGAGATTAATAATACTACTCCTGGATAATTCATATGTGCAAGGTACCGAATTCGTGACCATCTGAAGTAAAGCGGTGTGCTGAACCACTAGACCAACGAGGCCGTCATGCTCATAGGTGAGAGCCTGGAGGGTGGGACCTCCGGGTCCCAAGGTATTGAGACATTTATTGGCTGTTTATTTTTCTAAATACATACTTAAATCCAGCTTGCATATATATTATTTCTTTATGTGGTTTTGAGCTTTATGGCTTATATTATAAACGGTATTATCATGTCACTAATCATGCCATGAATTTTGGTGTCAATTATATATTTCTAAATATAAATATATACTAGTATACTAATACAAAAAACACAGGAAGTCCATCACATCTGCAGTTTAAAAATGAGGAATGGAAATACTTACACTGAACTTAAGTGTTCCCTGAAGTAATGTAGCGTGTACAATTAATATTGCATTATTAGACTAATCAAGAAATGGTATATAGTTATTTATTGTAAGTACATGCTCAAACTGTCGGTTATGATTCATTGTGTAAAAATAATCATATAAGAAATGAAAAAATGTAATATATTAAGTAGAAACATTATACGAAGTACAATTAAAAATAGGACATAATCAATTTGAATTTCTCTGAAATTATACTACTTGCCTGTTATTTCATAAGGTTGTTAGTCTGTAGTACATAAATATGAACATATACGTTTACATAAATATTTAAAAAAAATGTAGGATAATAAGTGTGTTATGTTACATTTTTTTTTACTGAAAAATTAGTTATGGGGTATATGAAATGGGTTAAAAACCCAAGAGGTATCACCTCTAAGTTTCCCTTTTAGGCGTCAATCAGTTTTCTTTGTCTGTATCTCACAGGCGTCAAATAATAACAAAATATTTAAATAATGTGGCTCGTAAGCTTATTTTTCATTCTAATTACATAAAGAAAATTGTCTTAAAGCATATATTTAATAGGCCTTAAAACTAGTCCTGTCCGAATAAGAATGGTAAATGGTGATGTAACTAGTAGTTGTGCATCTCTTACACAGTGTCAAACAGCCGGGGGTTGTGGACGTCGGCCTTATCGTCCGTGACGAGCGAGTTCAAATGCGCCTATAACTTTATTTTTAATGTAGGCTATAACTGGCATGTGGCATCACTTACAGTGTTAAACAGGCGGCAGTAGTGATCTTCGCTTGCCGTTCGCGACTAGCGCGTTCACATGCCAGTACAATTTTTTTAATTTGTATGTGAGATATTTATAATCTATTTAGAAACCGTGGCATCACTCACACAGTGTCGAACAGCCGGCGGTAGTGGTCGTCGGCCTTGTTGTCGGCGACGAGCGAGTCGAGCTTGTCGACGAGCGCGGCCTCCGTGCGGCGCGCGTGTCCGGCGGCGGCGCGCTCGGCCGCCATGAGGTTGACGAGCGCGGCCAGCGCGGGCCGCCGCAGCGCCTCCACCAGCGTCACCTCCAGCAGCGCGCCCACGCCCGCGCCCACCAGCTGCAGCTGCGCCGCACCTACCGGCCGTCGCGCACGCTCGTAAACGCTTCATTCGCACCCAACCATTTAAGTAAAACGCTGTTTTATGAACACGGACCTACCATCGTGCACATGACACGCCAGTAAACATTTCATTGGCAAAAAATGATTAGTTTTACGAGGAACTTTCACATATTTAAGCGCGTACTTTAATTATATGTCGCAATTTCTGGCTATGACCGCGCCCTCTGTAATACGACTATTATAGAATGCGAGTGCCGCTAGATGGCACTGCGAAGTACGGACGACGACCAGAAAACTAGTCTCAGTTAACTGCGAGATTATTAAAATCATAGAATTGTAATCTCCCTATTTCAGAAGTTTAATAATTAACAAACTTTTTCATCTTAATTATAATATGAATTGTACATATTGTTTCTTTGGTGAAATTCTTCAGCGTCATAAATACTATAACCCTTTGTGTAGTCTTCTTGTACACATGACAATGTATTTGTGGTGTGCGTGTGTGTGTGTATGTATGAGAATGTGGTGACCCACACAATCTAGGTGCTGTGATATGAAAATAATAAGTTCGGACTGTTTGTCAACTTGATTTAATGAATACAGGATTCGATTGATGCTTATGTTTAAGTGTGGACTGATGTTTATATGTATGTGTGCATGCTCACCGAGGCGATTCCAAACGGCGAGCAAGTGACGTGCGGCAGCAGCACGCATGCGCGGCCCGTCCGCCGCTCGTCCCACGCAGCGCGGCGCTTGTAACGCACTCGCTGTCACTAGCGCCACGCCCAGCTCCACGTACCCCGCCCACACCTGCACCCGACCCCACCGCCAGTTAAAATACGCCACGACTTCAGCGGAACGAAGACACGACCGACCTCACTCATTCAAAAGCTGCCTTCACACGAACTCTCTTTCACAAAGGAACTTGCTTTCACGCAGGAATTAATGTAGACAAAGAGAACAAGATGGACCACGTGCTGCTAAATTAATTCGATTAAATTAAATCGAGCTATTTCCAATACTGTTACAATTAACTTATTTGATATAAAATAGCCATAATTCATATTTATTCACGATCTAATTGTTTGTTTAGTGAGTGTATGTTTTTCACTAATTCGACACGTCCTACAGACGAGAGTACCTAATATCAAGCCCAATATTATGTCTTATATAAAAATCTTAAATCTATTTGATAACATACTTTTGGTGTAAGATATAAAACGTGTTACTATAATAATTTATACCTGAGTATCAAATTGCGGTGGTTCATCTCCCATAAACCGCTCGAGTAACGGTTTCGACAAGTCTTGTAGCGCTGATAATAATACTTTACAGCTTTGAATTCTAAGAACCATCCAATCTGCTGGGAACACCTGCAAACAATAACGAAATATTTATTTTAATGTTTGACCAATAATTTTCATACTGTCATTACAAGAATGTAGTAGAACGTGCATTAACTAAAAAACAGTCACATTTCACATAATTATCAACATTATTGGTAGAAAGTCGCACAGACTGTGTTTAATTATTTATTATACAAAAATCAGGACTACACTAAACTTTTACTAAACAATTTATATAACAAATCATTGCAAGCACTACCTTGGTGTATTCTATACCAAGTCTCATATGAACATCATGTGATATAATTTGACGGTGGTAGTCAGTGGGTATTTATGTATTTAGTTTAACTCACTACCTTATACTTTTACATGCAAACGACTTTGTACAAAGTCGTCTGTGTGAGTATATCTGTCTTACCTATTTCCGCCGTAGCTTGCTTTGTAAGCAATGTTTCGGTTGACAGGATTGATATGCTTTGTCTAGTTACATGGACTATGGTTGTTAATGGTAACCATTATATGTGCCGTCAGTTTAACTGCTATAATATATTCAAATATACACTATGGAATAGAGAGAATATAGTAGGCGTAACTCACATCCTGTTCAATAAGATGTCTAAAGACAAGGAAGGCTCGCATCAAAAAGTCTTTTAAAGGTTTTCGATCATGCGGGTGCGGTGCTAAGTGACTCCATAGCCTTTGATAATGGGCGGGCTTGAGTAGTTCCATAGCGCCCAGCAAACCGGCGACCATTGAGCCCTGAAAAGCATAGCAATATAAGACTGATTTATAATTTGTTTCGTAAAGGAACAAAGCCCAATACAAATAGGAATCAAACAATGTACTAAGTTACTAGTTTAATTTTCAGCGTAGTAATTGTCACCTAATATTACATTTGTGACAAAATAGGTAAAGTGAGGAATAAATTGAACAAATAAGTTAAAGAATAAAAAGAAATAAGAAACAATTAATTAGGCGACACCATTGTTACAGCCGTAAAAAATAAATGTGAAAGTATTAATATCTGAATACTTTTTATTTTTTTAATACCACCAGCTTTCTACATGTTCAGTTACTGTAATACTTTTTTATATAATTATTATACACAACTCATGTTAGCCGCTGATATAAACTCCTATACGCAAAGGATTTTTTTAAATCCTTAGAATATAGAGTGTTCGAGCGCTATCGAACATGAGCTATTGACAGCCGCTAGGCCGGGGCACCTTTCACTTTGCCTTGCGCCTACGACGTCACCGCACGCGTACCTTATTAATTAGATAATGTTCCTTGTAATATTATAACTCCTCGTATTAAATATAATAACTTACAGTCCACTACTTATTTTATTTACGAGTCATCAACAGAAAACATGTTTTTTTAATAGATATTATTTTACACAATCACAAATAAAAAAAGATCAAGTTTATTTGAAACAGTCAATGGCATAAAATGTTCAATCCGTTTAAAACGTATCAGACATGTATTTTAATTCTTTGCAAAATAAATATACAGGTCGAGTTCCCAGACTTACCAATACAGGTGAGTTCCCACCAATAAGATGCAGCACAGTCTCGACGAGCACATCGAGCGTGTTCAGACAGAGCACATCGACGTCAGGATCGATGTGATCATGATGATCGTGCTCGTGATGGTCGAGCTGATCTTGAGGGTCGGTGAGATCGTCGTCGGAGCGTTTCCATAGCAACGTGACGAGGTCACCAAGCATGTCCGCACACTGCGGTAGTTCGTCGCGTCGTGCTAGTTGTACACGCAAGTGTTGGCACGCCGTCATCAAAACGATATTACGCGCCTCTGAAACAATATTTTATTTATTTGGTCAATTCATTCATCACAGTGGCAAACAACATTACAGACGATAAGGCATACATGCTTATGAACATGAACCGATATTGCGACCATCACAGTATAGAATATAAACTCCTTAGTCAGTTATGACTAGCTTTTCTTACACTACGATGGTGGCAAACAAGCATATGGCCCATCACACATCAGCACATCTAAAGTAAAATATCCTTTGTAATATGTACACAATATATGACATAGTTATTTATAAACGACAAACCTAGGCCCCATAGGATGGCAAGGGATAAAGGCATGGCATCATCATTGCAATGATGATGCCATGCCTTTATCCCATTATTTGGAGTCGGCGCTAAAAATCTTATTATTATTTTAAACACGAAAGTTTGTCTGTGTCGAAGGATGGATAAGGTAAGTTTTGATACTCTTTCACGTAAAAACTACTCTGAATGGATTTTAATGAAATTTTACAATAATATAGTATACATTAGAATAATATATCTTTACATAGTATAAAACAAAGTTTCCACCGCTGTTTGTGCTGCAATTTTAGTGTAGTTTTCAGCAACAAATAGAGTAGTTCAAGAGAAATAATTGTATGTATAATACATACGTGCATATTATTATACAGAAGAGCCGAGAAATTTAAGGATTCGTAATGCACCCGTGCGAAGTCGAGCCGAGTAGCTAGTAGGCTATAAATTTCACACGAATGAAACCGCGGGTACAGCTAATTAAATATAAAATAATCACTGACCAGGATCCTGTCCGAGCGGGCCCTTGAGTACGTCCTGCGCGGCGGCGAGGCGCGCCTTGGCGAGCGCGGGCGGCGCGGTGGCGGCGGGCGCGTCCAGCATCGAAGCCGTTATCCGCGCCGCTTCCACCGGACCCAGGGCCGACGCCACTTCCTTGGCCACGCTGGCCCATGATGTCATTAGCGCTACCTATAAATAGGTTCTATGTGTCATATAATACCGTAGTAGCTATCTAGGGGTCCAAACACATCAGTACCATGCAGGAATCAATGTTAAAACAGTGTTTAATCTCAAAACCGTTATAAGATGTTACGTTTTAAACTTAAAGTAAATGACAAAATTTAAATTAGGACGTGATAGAATATCAGAGATATTAAAATCTCCGATGTATAAGTACTTCTGATAGTTTTCCAAAATACTATTTTTTTTTGCTTTAGAGTATGTTCTCATTTACAAACAAACTGTAATGATTATTAGTGCACGTCCCGCCGGAAGCTGTCCTCGTACTGGAGGGGGCGGGGCGGGGCGGTACCTGTGCGGGCGCGAGGTGGTCGCGGTGCGGGTGGTGCGCGAGCGCCCGCAGCGCGTGCAGCGCGGCGCGCACGTCCCGCCGGAAGCTGTCCTCGTACTGGAGGGGGCGGGGCGGGGCGGGGCGGGGCGGGGCGCGGCGGTACCTGTGCGGGCGCGAGGTGGTCGCGGTGCGGGTGGTGCGCGAGCGCCCGCAGCGCGTGCAGCGCGGCGCGCACGTCCCGCCGGAAGCTGTCCTCGTACTGGAGGGGGCGGGGCGGGGCGGGGCGGGGCGCGGCGGTACCTGTGCGGGCGCGAGGTGGTCGCGGTGCGGGTGGTGCGCGAGCGCCCGCAGCGCGTGCAGCGCGGCGCGCACGTCCCGCCGGAAGCTGTCCTCGTACTGGAGGGGGCGGGGCGGGGCGGGGCGGGGCGCGGCGGTACCTGTGCGGGCGCGAGGTGGTCGCGGTGCGGGTGGTGCGCGAGCGCCCGCAGCGCGTGCAGCGCGGCGCGCACGTCCCGCCGGAAGCTGTCCTCGTACTGGAGGGGGCGGGGCGGGGCGGGGCGGGGCGCGGCGGTACCTGTGCGGGCGCGAGGTGGTCGCGGTGCGGGTGGTGCGCGAGCGCCCGCAGCGCGTGCAGCGCGGCGCGCACGTCCCGCCGGAAGCTGTCCTCGTACTGGAGGGGGCGGGGCGGGGCGGGGCGGGGCGCGGCGGTACCTGTGCGGGCGCGAGGTGGTCGCGGTGCGGGTGGTGCGCGAGCGCCCGCAGCGCGTGCAGCGCGGCGCGCACGTCCCGCCGGAAGCTGTCCTCGTACTGGAGGGGGCGGGGCGGGGCGGGGCGGTACCTGTGCGGGCGCGAGGTGGTCGCGGTGCGGGTGGTGCGCGAGCGCCCGCAGCGCGTGCAGCGCGGCGCGCACGTCCCGCCGGAAGCTGTCCTCGTACTGGAGGGGGCGGGGCGGGGCGGGGCGGGGCGGGGCGGGGCGGGGCGGGGCGGTACCTGTGCGGGCGCGAGGTGGTCGCGGTGCGGGTGGTGCGCGAGCGCCCGCAGCGCGTGCAGCGCGGCGCGCACGTCCCGCCGGAAGCTGTCCTCGTACTGGAGGGGGCGGGGCGGGGCGGGGCGGGGCGGTACCGGTGCGGGCGCGAGGTGGTCGCGGTGCGGGTGGTGCGCGAGCGCCCGCAGCGCGTGCAGCGCGGCGCGCACGTCCCGCCGGAAGCTGTCCTCGTACTGGAGGGGGCGGGGCGGGGCGGGGCGGGGCGCGGCGGTACCTGTGCGGGCGCGAGGTGGTCGCGGTGCGGGTGGTGCGCGAGCGCCCGCAGCGCAATAGCGCGGCGCGCATCGTCCCGCCATGTCTTTTTATGTACTGGCCGCCGGTGGCGCGGGAGAACAGCCGGCGCGAGCGTACGGCCAGCCGGAACACGGCGCCCAGCGACCGCAGACACTTGCGGATCGGCTCCTGGCCCTCCGTGCCCGCCGCCCACTCCGCGCAGTGCTGCACCGACGACAGCAGGCCTCTGCAGACACCACAATATCTCAACGAACGATCTCCGCATGTCTTTTTATTAACTGCGTATCGAATTTGGGATCGAGTATTGACATGACACACGAGCTGACAGTTAATTTTATCATCATTTGCAAAGCAAGATGCTCAGCAGCTGAAATAGACGACATTGAGAGACTCAACATTATAAAGTCTTTTAAAGAATGCCTAGAGTTTTAATATGTAGAATATTATTATAATCTACAAGTGAGGCGTTATTCGAATCCAGGCAAAATATTTCTAAACATAATATTTAAATAAATATACTACAACACTTACTTGTATACTAGAGCGGCTGAGAAGTGTTCTTCGATATACACGTCGAGCACTGGTCGAAAATGTTGAAACCGACTTTCGTCCAGTAAACTACATATCGATACCAGTACCAAGAACACGGTACCGGAGTGCGGCGTACTGAAAGCACAAAACAATATATTAATATATTTAAATGGATTTATACAGAACATATTATTATGTTACAAAAGTTTAACTGCACCAAACAACGATATGATCGTATATGTATCTGATACATATACGATCACATCGTTCACATGATTTTCAAACGTACAATACGCACACATTAGTACGTAAATTAAGAAATTTGAGTTACTGTAATAAGTTACCCGCAACTTATATTGTTTATTTTGTTTTTTCAAATTTCGAATATGTTCTTGAAGTTCAAAAACTTAATGAATAGCTAGGTATTTGAACATTTCTGATGGCAGGTAGAAACTTACCTGTTTCCATCCTCAGTGGAGAAGAGAGCGAAGAGTGCATCGAGCACATCGCGCAGGAACTTGATAAGCTCTTCGCAGCTGAGCCCATCTCCGAGCCGCAGCACGCGCAGTAGCGTCTCCTGCACCTTCTCTGGGTGGGCGCGCCATTGCAGCAGCGCCAGGAGGTCCTCTGTACATATAAGGGTACATGTATACTCAAAATAAGAAAAGACGGTCCGACTTACTAAAGTAGACTTTATACAAAATCTATGTCATAAGTCAAAGACGTAGTAGTAGAGTTAATGACCTTTACAATAAAATAGCTTATATATTAGAATAGCACATAGGCTATATATTTCACGCAGGTTAAACAGCGGACACAACTAGTAAAGATTTATTCTATCTATATACATAAATGGAAAATAGTCTACCGCTGTTCAGATTTGAATAAAAAAAATATTCATATCCTAAGATTTGAACCTAAGTTTAAAAGAATACCATTTGCAGTATTATATAAATACTATACCATTCTGCGTGAGTTTTGTAGAACACAACAAAGTGCTAATTGTACAGCTCTCTTTAGAACTCCTTTGGAAAGTGGCTACGACACCGTTGGTCGTACCCCTCCCCGAGTCAGTAGCACACGATGGAAGTGACAGGTAGCTCGCTGTTGTAAGTCTGGAAAAAGAAATAATTAGTCGTTTATTTATATATAATACATGCATATTATTGTTTAGAACTGATCTTTATGTTATAAAAACTAATAATTAAATAAATTAATTACTTGGTAGGATCGTCGCATTTATAAACATATAGTTCATGAGGGCCGTCCCCCAGTGTGGCGCCGCTTGCTTCCATGAGACGGGCGAATGCGAATCCAAATAGTTTTCTTTCATTTTTATCTCGAGCTGAAAAAAGCCGATTCTATTGCTAAGATCAAAAATATAAATAGATTGACACTATTAAAAAGTGTGTAAAAAAAACTGAAGAAACAATAGCCTTTAGATGAATTTGGACTAGAACAACACAAAACATACATCATTATTTGTATGTATTTTTAGTCAAAATCTACCTATTATTTTGAATAAATTTGGTATTATACTAATTCAATATACAATCTAAAATAAATCAATGTCATTTCTATAATTTTTATTGTTTTTAACGGAATGCAAATAAGTTCAAAAATAATTTACACACCTACTTAATTGTAAATATTTCAGAACGCTTATTTGCTATTTAAATATTCATATTTGTATTAGTGGAGTACAAATATGAAATGTACAAACGGTAAATGATTATGTAATATTTTCTGTATTACATAATCATTTACCGTATTTTCAGGAGAAATAGCTATGTACGTACTACGTACCTTTATAATTTATAGATGTTCATATTTATGAAATTTAAATGGGGAATACTCACTGGAGCAGTGTCGGTACTCGACGCGCACGTGCGCATGCGTGAAGGTGTCGAGAGGCACACCGAGGCGCAGGTGTTCTCCCCACGCGGGGCTGTTGTTGTGGTACAGCACTAGAGACTCGTACGAGTGGCCAGCAGCGCCGCTCGCGCCGTACACGCACTCCTACATGTATCATTAGCTTTACACGTACGCTCTTTTATGAGGGAAAGAATCTGCATATAAATGTAGACGAAGAGAACGAGAAAGACCGCGTGCGCTGTCTAATAGCGCATTTCCGCGTCCTTCAATCGTGCGTGCATTAGCGGTTTTTTGTAATAATTATCATTGCAATATAGAGGTAAGAGTATAAGTATACCGTTATTGATATTTCAATCTTAAATGTGTCTTTAGAAAATATAATAATCTTAAAAAATATATATATTAAAGAGTGATCACAACAAATAGTAAAATGCAATCATACACGCTGAATTTCCCGTGCTAAATCGCGCGCGCTTCTGATCGCGCATGAAAGCATGTATAGATTAGTATTCCTCATTGCAGCTTGAAGTATTATTCATACTTGACCACGATGCACTATGAACTAGCATTACTCTCGCTAAAATTATTTGTCCAATTTAATTTATAAGGGGTTCAAAATAGTCGGAAAATCCCAGCTCAAATGTTGAAAAATATAAAAACCTTCAACTCTTGAACTCTTCATCATACTCTTGAACTCTTGTTGCTAGTTGTAGGACTGGTCTGAATTCTATGACGGATTTATTTTGTTACTCAAGTAACGATTTATCTAACTTTTTTGTCAGTGATCTGGTAGTTTGTATTCATAGAAAATGTTAAAAAGTTAAAAGAGCAACAGGTATTCCTAAACTACTGTTCGAATGAGGAATAGAATAAATTTAATGTTCAAAACTGCTTATATAAAGTGTATTTTTGTATGGAAATTGATAAATCGTATTACTTTTAATAGATGATGATATTCGTATTAATAAAATCTATACCATAAACAATACATGGTACAAAGTTCACTGCATCATCCAGTAATATACTAAAACTGCATAATTAAGGTTACTCACGTTTATAACCTGTCCTGTATTGTCATGAACACTGACTGTTGCTAAAACATTTTTCGCTGTACTTTTGCCTCCTCTTTCGAACTCTGCTTTTTCTAATGTAAAATATAAGTCATTCCGCACATCGCCAGGCATGATAACATCAGGGAAACCACGCTTGGCGGTTACTGTTGCTCCAGATGTTACCGCTTCTGTTATGTTCCCCGAATGTGTTAAAAGTCGAAGGGCTACCACTATACCTGGAACATAGAATAATCCTATTATAATAATATAGATAATGGAACCCACGTTAAAGGCGGTATGGTGAACAAATTGTTTATCATCTATTCACAAATGATCATTAATGGATATTATAAAATAAAAGTCATATTTTATAAGCGTTCATAAGCTTTAATGGTCGTAGTTTCATAGCAAAATATATAGTTTTTGGTCTAATTTATAGATTCTTAATTTGCTCTTATAGCAATTATAATTTAAATCAACAAAAACCACATGCTAGTCTTAAATATTTTACAGTATGTATGTATGTAAAGACTACTTTCTAAAAAATGTATTTAACATAACTTTGTAATAATTCACACTGATAACGTAGCATAAACCACAAGAGGTATTGAGGTTTTCCTTATTGTATTAGATATATATGATTTATATTACTACTATGTAACTTATACAATAATATATGACAAGAAAAAAAAGTAGTATTTATCAGTAAGAAACCTTAAAGGTAAATACTCTCTTCTTACTGCATCCACGGAGAGAATGTAGGATATGATATTTTTTCCTACTACAAATTACATGACATACCTAGTGATTCTGTAGCGAATCATGGGCTCGAGTTAATATGGGCCAAGGTTATTTTCCCTAGAATTGTGTACCTCATTTCGATGGAAACAAGTGATGGTCGGCTATACATATGAACAGCATTAAGATTTTTTTATGGATGATAATGAAATAGTGCACCCGCATGCGCTAATGGTATACGCTGGCGAGGCACCAGTGGAGGACGATAGAATAATAATAACAATAATCTCAGGACCCAACTTAAGCTAGCTAAAGCTTGTGTTATGGGTACTAGATAACTGATACATATACATAGATTTTTTTTTGTAAATATATACATATTATACATAGAAAACACACAGACCAATACAAACAATCATACTCATGAATACAAATGTTCGTGCCGTGCGAGGAATCGAACCCGCGACCATCGGTCATGAAGCGGTGTGCTAGACCGCTAGACCACCGAGGTCGTCATAATAAGCGTGAGGTCAGGTCAGTTAGTCCATTGTTAGAAATTGGTCAACCAGACTTGGTATATTGCTTTTCCTCTAGCATCTTAAAGGCAACAAAATACATGTTGATGTTCATGATCTTACAAGTTACATCTTGATGCCCGTGATACATCTGATGCCATTCGAATTTAGTAAGTTAAGAATCAATATTGAAATTAAATTGAATTGTATAGAATAATTCTTAAAAATATTATTTATATTATCATATTAAAAATTTATAAAATTACCATAATTCGGTGTACCGGGAAGTATATTGCACTTGTTCGTCTGTTTTCGTATTAACATATCATGTAACTGATGGAAATCCTTCTCTTCAGATTGGTATACCTGAAAATTATCAAATTAACCCAGGGTCAGATTTCAATAAACTATTTATAAACAATTAAGGTATAAGGTAAGGTATTGAAGTTAAAGGCTTAAAATCATCTAGTGTTAATGAACTATGGTCATCTGATACCGACCTACTATATTCTATATAATTTCAGAAAGTATCATAACAAACACAATTCTCTTCTTTCTACAACAAGACAGTAATTAATGAATTACCAAACCCGTATGAAAAGCACAACAAACGCGCTGTATTTTACATCTCATGTGTGTGCATGCATCCTATAGTATTTAAAAACTGAATCATTCATTGTTCTACTACGTCAATTGATTAGATAATGAACCTCTAGAATTTAGAGAAATACATTAATAAGGGTTTTTCCTAGTCGTTCACCTTACCTTACATACTATACGCATATAGTATGTAGCATTGTACCTACTTTTTGAACAGGACATGAGTCGATTAATGAAATTACTGTAAATTCAAGTTAAAAAATAATTTATTCATATAGGACATTTTAGCCGCTTAGGAACGTCAAATTTCTTATATTACATTTTTTCCCTGTTGTCCAGTTCAGTATATGATCTATATTGAAAGAAACTCAATTAAATATTAAGAAAAAAATATTAAAATATTATAAAAAATAAAAAAATATTAGACTAGTATATAATATACTGTATAAATATATTAATAGCAACTATGAAAATATATTAATTACCTTAAACGTATACTCTTTTTCAGTGGGTTGCTGACCGGGTTGTCTGAGGAATTCTGTTAGGGACAATACACCAGCACCCAGAGGCCTTCTGGCGATGGGTCCTTTCCTCTCGCCTGTGCCGCCACTGATGCTGCCAGCGCCTGACCATCGCCCCACTCGTATCACCCACGCCACCAGCCATAGCTCCCGGGAGAGATCTGTTGTTGAGAGATCCTAAAAAATAGTAAAGTAAAATATATACACTTATTAATAATGAAATAATATCGAATAGATTCAAAACTCTAAAGGAAATCACGATGTAAGAAATTACAGTTTACGTAAGTCGTTTATACCTTTGTCCTTAGAAATACCAACGTATCAGATGTATTATGAGCGCGATATTCTGTGATGTCTGCGTTATTGCAATTGTGTAGTTTCTTTTGCCACTTCATTCTCATGACAATATATTAATAACTTGAATTTTAAATTCCAGTTTCATATGACTGTAAGTTTTCAGTGAGAGTATAGAATCATTGAATGTTTTGAACAAATTTAATTATCATTATTACCAAGCGTTAGTAATTTGAACATTAACATATTTTTTTTAATATATAACTTATTAAACTGGAAATTCTACTTCATTTTTTATGTGTGTATTTACAAAAAAAATATGTATGTATTTATATTATTGTCTAGTAGCCATAATACAAGCTCAGATCAACTTGAAACTAGATGGCGCTATGTCAATAATCCTGATGAATATCCTCAGGACTATTCACAAAGTGCATTTCATTATTAATAAGAAGCGTAAAAATGAATAAATTTATATATACGAGGACACAATAATTCAGGTTAGAAGAAAACATGTTCTATCAGTGTAACCTTTGTGAATATATTTAATTATTTAACGGACTGCTACTTCATACTTACAGCAATAAAAATTGTATATTGGACTTGTTTCATTAAATGCTCAGTATTATGATACAAGTCAACTTCTTAAATAGCTACCAGTTTGTATGGTTACCTAATATCAACCTTATACAGTTGATATTAAGTAAACATTCGACAACTAGTTTAATTGCACGATAGCGGTGGTTCTAATGAAGTTCATTTATATACTGCTACTCATTTATGGACATCATCACTTCACTTAACAAAGACGTTCTGTTCTAATTGACTCTGTACTACGGAGAGATCAAGGTGTATCTCATGATTCTGATAAAACCCGTCATTATTTTTAAGCAGATACAGCTAATAAAAACATAAATAATTTATTCAGTATAAAATAACAACTAGAGTTAAAATATAAAAAATGGTGATTGTGTAGTCATTGGTCCCTAATTAATTTTTAAGAAAAATCTCTAAGTAAAAGCTTTGTCCTTACAACTTTTATATATTATTACTAGTTGTGCGTAAATAATGAAAAAATATTTAACTCAATTAACACAAATTCAATCAAGTTTCATGGTTTCTCAAAAGATAGATAGTAAAAATGATATCAATACCTAAAAAACAGGAAAGTAGCTATAATGCATTAGGATTCTAAATTGAAATCAGATCAACTGTTTCTGAGAGCGTACAGAGCTGTGAGCATAAGTAAATGAACGAAATTCGATATACATTTATTTTTTCACATTGGTAATATAATCATATAATTTCTTCAGAAAATATTTTATGACATTAAATATTATAATATGCAGTGATGCTATAGATATCTTAAAGTTAAAAACATTTATAGACTTTCAAAACAAATGTAATTGTGACAGTGGCATCAAAATCAAATTAGTTATCATCAAAAACACATTGTGTTGGCATACACATGTACAAAACGTAATAAAATCCTATAGTTTGCACACTAGAACATAAAATGTAACACAGTACATCATTTAAGACATAAACACATAAAACAAAGCGAGTATAGCAATATTGTTGTTTTGCAAGGCGTGGCGCAGTGTCCAGTAGAAAATAAACTCACTCAGCATAATACGGCCACGGCACTGATGTGTGGGAACCTTTCAACGATATTCGAATTTTACTAAAACGCCTAAATCTGTAATTGGAATGGGAAACAAACTGACAGACCACCTAATGGTAAGTGCTAAGCGTCGCCATTATATATGTAATTTTTTTAAAGCATTGGGGCTAACGACCTTGCGGCTTGCCTGATACAGTATGAATCTACCAACATTTTGCCGCATATGAACACCAGTTAATTTTTATTTTAGTGAAAAATAAGCTATTTTGACAACATTAATTTTGTGTTAATGCTTTTTAAATAAACACCCACACAATTTCTATATAACTACAAAAATTAAATAATTTAATTTCGGCCATTTTTAGGTAATTGTGAATTGGTTTTTAGGGAAACAACATTTGAATATACATTGGACATTGACTTTAATTTTTGTAATTTATATTTATGTATATACACGATATTGAAACCTATGTGAACAGCACTGTATCGAGTTTGGTTCAGACACCATTGTGATTTTTAGTATACAGAGTTTAGCATAGAGGGCAATTGTGCTTGCGGCACACCTGATGGTAAGTGATTACCGCTGTCCTGCACCCGTAACACTAGGTGACCGATTGCCGACCTATTAAGGGAAAGAATTAACTAAAAATCATACTTACAGCAAATAAGGTACTATTAGCGTGAAGCCTGTCCACATAATTCGAGAACCCGTCTCTCGCTATCCTGACCCTGAACCTCTCAGATAAAGGTTGTGCTTTTCTCGCATCGTGCAACCATAAGAGTAATTCTGCTTCATCTCCACCCGCTGTATGTCCAAAATCCCGCATGCTGCACAGTAGATTGTAAGATTGAACCCCGGTACTAGAATTTGTGCAGCCATTTGTGAGTGTTCCGGAGTTAAAGCTGCTACCTGAACCGCCTGCGCGACGGAGTGTACCACGCCACTGTAAATAAATATACAGACAGATAAAAACATTAATACATATTCACCTTATTAGAAAAATTAACCACTAAACTCAGATAGGGCATTTTTTGTTTCGTTTATTGAGTTTATAACAGAGTAGTTTCGGTCCAGACAGTATATTTAAAGTGCACACGCCCCTCTGTACCGAAGCGTAAGTTTTCATGTTACATTCCAACAGGGCTAGGAATTACGCCCGCCTGATGTTCCCAAAAATTTATATATATGATTAGACCAAAAATCCCAACATTAATATAGGTAATAAAAAACAATACACACGTACATAAACCGTACTCCAATACCCACAGGCGGGTCACAAGTTATTTATATAATGAATCTCTGATAATGGTTTATAGATAGCAAGAACATATAAGGCAACTATGTCACTCGTGCTTGAGAGAAACCTGTCACGACGGATGCAATACGTCTGGTGCCTTTTGTTTACTATAGATAGACAAAGTCATGTATGGCTTCCATGTATTTTTTATAGTATAACGTCATATAGTTATAGTAAACATGACCTTATTTTGTTACTTAAAACAGTTATATAACAAAAGATAATCGTTGGAATGTATTACCATAGAATAATAATTTATTCTATTTAGACAATAATCAATAATTAAATTACTAACATGAAATTACATTAACTCTTAATATACATGTGTTTTTGTTATTACAGTATGAACGAACGAAATTTGATGATTCTTTTTGAAATCAATAGGAATCAGTTTTTTCATTATTAATATTTACTCGTAAACATTTTTCATATAATGTTCCTCTAATGAACTTCTACATTGGCATATATATTTCAAATCAGTAGGTTATTAAAATCTAAAATACAAACTATAGCATATAATATAAACTACAGTACAGTGACGTACGGGCGGTGGATAAGGTCCATAGGATTTCAGTGCATAAGTATTTAAACTAAGTACAAACATTTTTAGTATTCTTAAATTTCAGGCCCATAATAAATAAAAGAAGCACATAATAATTAAGAGATATAAACTGTAATCAGCCGTCTGCGTGGATACCTATTACAGCTGCCAAACAGCTTGCTTGGTAAGTTGTCTTTCGGTTGTAGACTGCAGACAAGGCAATTTACAGGATATCGTGGTCATAACATCTTAGTTCTCTGGAATCGCAACCCATGAGTTGTATCAAGGATATCACATGATAACGTGATGTCCGTGGTTCTGTTCATGGTACTGCTTCTTATAGAACAGCCTGTCAGCTTGTTAGCCATTTCAGTTACATGAAAAATGAATTACTAACCGCTGCTGCTCTCTCTGAACTTTCCAAATGCACACTGTACAGCTGAACAAGGCTCATTTCTTCCGGATCCACTGCGGTGGCGCCCCTTCGTGGGACCAACTCCAAACCTAGTTTCCTGAAACAAGAAAAAGAGGTATTTAAGTATAAATATACTTTATGTATAAAAAATACTTAATAGTGCCATCTAGCTTTTGAGGATACTAGATCTTATGTGCAGTGTAGGCGGTAAATGTTAAAAAATTATTGCCACCATGTGTACCTGCAACTCGCACAAACAAAATAATTGAATAAAAAATTAAATAAAATTCTAAAAGGCTCCTCTTTTAGAATTTAGGTTATTTATTAGGTTCTTTTTTCAAGATTATCGTATCGTAACAGTTGTATAGTAGAAATACATAGAAAACACCCTGCTCAGTACATACAGGCATAGTCATGAATAAAACTGATTGTTTTAGTGCAGAGCTCGCGTTAGCTACAATCCAAAGATGACACAGTCTTCTAAAATTAGTAAAGGCTCTCAAAAATATTATTTGTTACAGATAAAGTAACTAAAGACAAACCTAATTATTTTTATACTGTACTACCAGCCCGGTCGGATTCGCACGGATGGTTAATTTTTTACGTCTATATATTATAGTTTAGTCTCAGGGATAATGTAGTATTCTGATGGTGAAACAATTTGTAAATGGTTTCAGTACTTTTTGAGTTTATTCGTTATAGACATACAAATCTTTCCTCTTTATAACATTCGTATGAAATACGACGATACATAGAGACAATAGACACTCGTACATTTTAATTACGTACACTATGGTATTGCATAGGTCTAGCAGATATTACGTGTTATATTGTTGCACCTGACTATGGTGCTCCACCGGAAAACCTTAGCTATACTGGAAACGGCCTTAAATCCGACGAAATTAATAGACACTCGTAGTTGTTAAAAATGCCCAGGCATGAGGTATCTATATCCGTCCAAAATATATCTGAAGACTATTACTGCACAATAATCCTTTATACAGAATATACAAGATGCATCTTGTATACCAATACGTTGGTTTCTGGATTAACTTGAAAAGACTTGGTTAAATTAAATGATTACACCACTTCAAGACAATTATTGTTCAAGTAATACTTATCTCGAACAAATGCTTACTCCATTTAGGTAAGTAAAGACAACCTTGAATATGAAGTCCATAAAAGGATTCATATTTACTAGGTTGGGTAGCGTTTCAGAAAATTAGTCACACTTTCCGCAAATATTATAAAAATATTTGCTAATTTAAGGTAATGGCGAGGCCTATCCACTGAAAATTGAAGAAATAACTTAGTTATAGTATTTGAAATAAGGGAAATCAAATAGAATTGTAGCAGAAGAATTAGTAGAAAAGGAGTAAACGAATCAATGTTTGCTAAATAAAAAGAGAAACTTCAAAAAGAGTCTGTAACTAACTGCAATGACAACAATGTTGTTTGCAAAATTTTTAATATTAAAATAAAGTTTCATTATTATCGGAATAATTTACACACATAATTTATTTTATACATCCTCTGGCAAGGCGAGGTCATTTCGCAGTATACGTAAATCCATTTGGTATGCATGCATAACATACAAAATGGACATTGTAGAATTGCTAACACAATTTGCAAAACGTTTGAGAACCGGTGTTTTATTAATATCATTGTATATAAATATTACATGACAGTCTCGTGTTCTCTGTTATTACATCATCTCATAAACATGAAGTACATTTTTCTTCTATAAAATCCTATAATTATCAAGGAAGTGGTCAATGCACATCCCATCGCCGCCATAACATTACAGAGTATAAAAATATATCATGCCGCATACCGGTAGAAACCAGTCAAAATCCTGTTTAAAGCATTAACCCAGAGTTAAAACCGCAAATCAAACAAGCTGCGTCTGCGCCGTCGGACGAAGCCCGCTTAAAATGCAAAGGAGTCAGTGGCATAATTCCTCGTAAAAAACTGTACCTAAAGAACAGCGCTCGAATGGCTATAGTTTTACGTGTGAATATTATGAATCACATGAAAGTACCACCAAAGCCTTCGAGGAATTCCCAACCGGAGGTGCGTTCGTCAGCTTTGCGGTGCAGTTTTTTGTAATATTAAACTTGAGCGCAATTGCAATAATGTTGCATTCAAATGTAACTGTTGTCATATGTTATTTTTTAAATTAAGTTGGCAATAGTGTTAGTTGAAATATTTTAAAGACCGCACCTCAAAATTAGGTCAATCTTTATATCAAGACGCCCTTCGTAGAGTAGTTATTATCCGCGTAGTAAGGATAAGATAAGTACGAGATTTTAAAATAAATTTTATAAAGCTTACGCAAATTACTTTGCAAAATAAAGATATATAACTGAATATATATACATATATATAAGAAAATTGTAATGAACAAAATCAATAATGTTTTAAATAAATAAATATTCAGTTCATTTAGTCGCCGATCTGTGCCTTAATAAATATTTCTTTATATTCTTCTGTGACTTTTAAGTTTCGCTGTTTTGCACCTTGCTATCTAAATACATTTATTATATAAGTATTGACGACCTGTCCCTATTTGGTATCGTTCTTGTAGTAATCTATAATTTTATTTATTATGTTATAACATACAGCATAACTTACACGCTGTCATTAGAAAAAACAAATTAACAACAATAGTACGATTTTCTTATATCAGATTGATTCGTCTATTGCTCATGTCTATTTGTGTTGACTTTACTAAATACAATTATTCAACATCATATATAGCTACACAAAGACGTAATTCCAGAACGTTTTCTAGATTATTAACTATCACATGTCTCGTTATTCGCTGTAAATCTATACAGTACGTACGTTCTTATAATAAATATGAGAATACATTAAATAATATGGATTTCTATGAAATAATATCAAATTGTTATATGGTGATTTGTTTATGAGGCGACATGACTAACACAGGTTGCTTGTAGCGGTAAGTATATCCATTATTTTATTGTTATAATTTAGTGTAATGTAGGTATGTATACGTAGTATACGTACGTAAAGAAGTACTATACAAACTTTTACTTTATATGATTCTTTAACAAACATAAAAATATCTACAATTATAAATAATATGAACATAATTAAAAACGTTTTTTTAACCCTAATAAATAATGTTAACCAATATCATAATTCATTTATTTCGTTCCGTGTACCTAAACAGTTATAATATCCTAAAAATATTACTCACTAAGTAAATATTTTTTATTAAAACATTACTAAATGAAGTGTAATTCCTTCTCTCCTAATTACTTCTTGGAAACATTTACAATAGCAAGTAATAAGTGATAATTAACATAAATGTATGGGCTCTCACCTGTGACCAGTTTTCTACTTACACTCCTTATTTGTAAAAGCTCACGCAAGTCGACGTTTTCACTGAGTTCGTAGCTCTAAATTCCTATTTCAACTAAGTTTATACATTTCTAGAAGTCTGGAAAAGAAAAGGTCTCATTTCTAGCTTTTCTTTATTATCTAAGCAAATATTCTTTAATGTTGTCTAATTAGTTATAGGTTTCTAAAGTAGACAAAGGAAGAAATACTACTCGTACATAAAAAATAAAATATCAAACCCATATTTAAAAAAATACAATATTTTATTTCTAACTCGTGACCCGTGACTGCTTCGGACGGATGCATTACACATCTTTGAATTTATCTACGTGTTCTATACTATAACACGCATGTACTATTTATACATATAAACCTTCCTTTGATTACTCTATCTATTGTTGAAAACCACATTCAAATCCGTTACGTAATTTAAAAGATATAAATCAACAGACCGCGGCGGCGATTTTGTTTTATACTATGTAAAAATTAAGAAAGTACCTAAAGAAAGATAAGGAAAATATATACATAAATTTCATAGCGTTTGTACTGCGAATACATGTGTATGAAAGACGTAAGACTTGTTTATATGTATGCCAATAATAGGTCACATTGCGGCCGCAGACTTAGCTTTTAGTCGACTCACGTAGACCTTTTCAATAGCAAGTATAGTTTATTTAACCGTAAATCTTATCTCGAGCGAGATACAGATCAATATTGTATATTACAAAGAAGCTTTTATGTCTACATGACATAGAAAGAACTTACATAATTGTGGCTGTGTCTTTAGACAAAAGTTTATTCCGTAAATTTCTCACGGCATATTTTGTAAACCTTATTGAGATTTTTGTTTGTTATTAATATATCTAACCGCAGATTTTGTAATGGTGATAAAGATTGGTCTGTGTAAACTAGGCAAAAGACATATTAGTTAACAAGATGAGGCCTCAAATAGATGGCTATACTTATTTTCTTAACCCACGAATCAATAAAATATTCGTGGCATTTAGTTTTAATGGCAAGATAACCAATAGTATTATAACCAAATATTAATAAAAATAATATGATAAGAGGGCGGCTCTAGAGGGCGGGAAGGGGATTGTTAATAATATGGACTAATAACCTCATAGCTAGCTATGTATTACGTTATGTCAGGTTCACTTCCACGAGGTTACTGGAAAATATCATTTTAAATTCTTAGTGAATTTGCCCCGATGGGCTAACTGACCTGACCTCATACTCATCGTCCTCCCCTGGTGCTCCGCCAGCGTATACCGTTAGCTCAGGCGAATGCAACATTCCATTGTCATCCCTTAATACAACTGTCCTTAGAAGTACCAGGGGTTACGTAGTTAGGCATAAAATATTCTTTAAAATTTGAGAAAAAAAACATAATAATAATATCTCAGACTACAACATGTAGGATTAGAGCTGTGATCATATTATGTTTTTAATTTTAAATAAGTAAGAGACGAAGGTACAGCCATGTATCTACATTATAGGGACTGTACCCCACAGGTAATTTAATTTAATGCATCATATTTGATGACAAACTGTGAAATACAGACGTGTAAGTAATCACTCGCATAAACAGGAAAAAAGAAAATGACTAAGTACAATGAATCCATTTCTAAGAGAGTAACCACAATTGGTGAACAGAATTTAAATCAAAATACAAAGCTTGTATATGTATAATAACATTTTTCCTGTAATATTAAATCAAGTTTAATT